CACTACACGTACAACCAGAGAGGTGGCGCTAAGAGAGGGCTAACATCTCTGGTATTCTGTTTCCTCAATACTACTCACTTGGAACCACGTGCCAAATAATAATGCGTTCTAAAAGCGTAAAATATCAATAGAACGTGTTTAAAATATAGATCTATTTGGTGAATACAATGAGATTATATGTTATATATATAATGTGTGTGTGTGTGTTCTCACCTATTTGTGCTTGCGGGGGTTGAGCTCTGGCTCTTTGGTCCCGCCTCTCAACTGTCAATCAGCTGTGTGTGTGTGTGAAGGTTGGAGAGACCAGCTCCAGCACTCACAGCTTGTTGAAGGGGGGATATATTTACAAGTCAATCAGTATCGAGCAGCCGAGTGAGGCAGGCAGAGATGGGTTACCTCCACTCTCTCCCGCCAGGAGTTCAGTCTATTAATTAAGAATTTACGTCATTCATATATATATATATATATATATATATATATATATATATATATATATATATATATATATATATATATATATATATATATACATATTTATCTTTTTCATTGTTTGAGTGTTTATCTCTTTATTTAATGGTTTATTACATGTCATTATGAATTAGTTACTCGTTATCGTCTGTTCCTACGATCTGAATGCATAACATACTGGTAATTTGTTTAAGTATAATTTATCATGTTGGCTCGTTATTGATTCATTTAAGTAGCATCTTATAATGCCTTAAGTGTGAAATAACTTATGATTGGCGTAATGTTGCTGAATTCGATTACTGTCCTTCTAATCATTGGGATCAACTGTAGAACAAGCATAATTCTGTCGCAAATTTCTTTATCATTGCCAAATTCTTAAATTATTTTCTTACTTTACGGTAAATTGTACAACGGAGCTCTTGGACTCTGCAATCAAATCCTTTCAAATATTGGTATAATACGGTATAGCCTGACTATTTTTGGCATCAGGCATTTTTTAGCAATATTCTCATCAGAAAATTCTTTCGTTGAAGCCACAGCATTCTGTCAGATGACTGAAGCGATGCCTCGGGACTGGGAATCTGGAATTTAGGAATGGGAATGTGGTGCGTGGTGGCTCAAGGGCCAGTTGCTATTCCCTGAGAAAAGTTGAGGTGTGTAGAGCTAAGGCTCTCAAGGGGGGGGATTCGATCCCTCGATCCTTCAATTATCGGGGTCTGGCAGCACGCTGAGTCATTTTACTTCTTCTAGAGACAACGCGGTGAAGGGTAGGAGGGTGTTTTGGGGGAAGGGTAGAAGAGATGAGAGGGAGAGATGGAGAGATGGGGAAGGGAAGGAGTGATGGATTGAGAGGAAGGAGACGAAAGGGAGGGAAGGAATGAAGGAGAGAGGAAAGGTAGAGAAGAGGGGAGGGCAGTAAGGAATGGATAAAGGGAAGGAAGACAGGAGGGAGGGAATAGTGGAGAAAGGAAGGGGTAAAAGGTAAAGGTAAGGAAGGAGGAGGAACTCGCGCGCGCGAGAGAGAAAAGATGCAAATGTAAAACTTTATTGCAATGAAGTTTAACAACAATATTTCAACATCGCACCCCAATCACTGGTGGGGTTCACTCCACTCTGCAACGGCGCCACATACAAGCAAACGTGGGAACGATCTTGCTTTCTGAGGCTACGACTGATGTTTAGTATTTATTTTAGCTCCTCAGCTTAGAAGCAATACCTCCCTCCCTCTCCGCCTTTCCTCCGCTCAGCAATGACGTCATTCCTCACCACCTCAGCAGCGAACCATCTTCCCTCTCTCATAAGATCGGCAATGAACCTATTCCGATTCCTTAACTTAACAGTAAGCCTCTTCTTCTATACCTAAGCTCAGCAGTTTAATTCTACCTCTATTTCTCAGCAGCTTCTTCTTCCATACCTAAGCTCAGCAGTTTAATTCTACCTCTATTTCTCGGCTCATCAATCACCCTTTTCCTGGAGTTCTCACTAAAGAAGTAGTCTCCCATTCCCCACAAGACAGATCAGCATCAGAAATCCTTCATCTCCTTACCTTAGGAGACAACACCAACCCAGCTCAGCCTCTGTCTCTTTCCCAGATCAGTTGGCCTCTTCCCCTCCTTAGCCAAGTAATCATCTCAAGTCATCCAAGAAACGCACGAGTCCTTAATGTTTGACATAGTGACACATTCAGAATATAAATTTGTAGGGCAAGACATCTCAATCGAAAATAAGCATCATTGTATCCGGTACTTACAGCGTGTGTGTGTGTGAGTGTGTCCGGAGTGTTCCCCCTTTTTGTCATTCCAGCTTTACCAGCCTTCTCTGTATACTTAGCATGTGTATCACTTTGAGAATCTCCATTATTCTTAGCGTAAGACACTTCGCCTCTCCTCTCCCCCTTCACAGCATCCCTCCTCCGCCTGGCGAGGAGGCAACACACCGGCACGGGATCAGCATCCGTTCATCAATACAGGGGGGCCTCGTTCTCCGCGTCGCAGCCGTCTTGTTACGGTCACGTCATCTTTAAAGAGAAACTTCTTGATGTCCGTCGTCTTCGTCCATTTATCCCGTCTTTTTATCTCGGAACAAAAGACTAACAATGGAAGGATGCTGGGGGAAAATGCCTGGAGTTGGGAGGTCCTTCCATCCTGTTTCGTAATTACCACTTTCTTCCTTGTCTCTCCTTTCTTCAGGTACAAATACTTTTACGCTTTTGATTTGCACAGTTGTCCGCCTCTCTCTCTCTCTCTCTCTCTCTCTCGAACCCGCAGTTCTCTCAAGTACGAAGCAATACTTATGTACATGTTTTGTTTACTCTGCGTTTCCTGTTTCATAAACGAGTAATTAACACGTATTTACATTATAGCAGTTGCTTAGAAACAACCCAATTACTGCATTGCTCCACCCCCCTCGTTCCCTTTACATATTTAACAACCAGTGAGCAATATTTGAAGCTTATGCCCCTCTCTCCCTCACTCCCTCCCACACCCGGGCTTCAAAAGTACTAAAAAGCAAAATTATCCAGATAAATACTTCCCTACCGAGACATTCTTTTTTCGCTTCCTTCCGATACGACGCGATTATCATTGCGCCCCTTCACCCCCGGCGCTCCGTGACTCTCCGGACGCCACTCTCAGCATTATTCCGACTGTTTACACCGAGCGTAACCATGACAACAAAGGGGAATCGAAAAACAATTACTTTAAAAGCCAGGTAGAGCCAGGAGCTTCAATTCAGTCAGGTGGTGTGTGTAATCCAGCCGCTGCGAGCCATGTTGGGGAGACTCGAGCAGGTGCTGGGTGGGACCAGCACCTGGGTGAGGCCAGCACATGGGTGAGGCCAGCACATGGGTGAGGCCAGCACCTGGGTGAGGCCAGCACATGGGTGAGGCCAGCACCTGGGTGAGGCCAGCACCTGGGTGAGGCCAGCACCTGGGTGAGGCCAGCACATGGGTGAGGCCAGCACCTGGGTGAGGCCAGCACCTGGGTGAGGCCAGTACCTAGTTGACTATCACATAAATCCAAACATATTTATATAAAATCTAATTCATTTCTTATTATTTCTTCGTATTTATTAAACAGGATTTTGTTTACATCAGAATTAAATCCGTTTAATGACATTTAGGGTTTTCATATTTCAGTTGTTCTTTCACGTAAAGATTTTTTTCGCACTCATTTTCTTCTGACTCCAAGAGAAGAAATGTTTCAATTTCGTCACCAATCTAGAGGCGTTTTAGTCGCTTGCTTCTCGTGAGTCAAGACTTGTGTGTTAATACTACATTGTAGTTTTATTTTATTTTGTAAGCTGGACTCTCAATGGACTCTATAGAGCACGTGAGTGTGGTGTGTGAGTGTGAGTTGTGTGTTTGTTTGAGTTGTGTGTGTTTGTGGTGTGTACTCGCCTAATTGTGCTTGCGGGGGTTGAGCTTTGGTTCTTTGGTCTCGCCTCTCAACTGTCAATCAACTGGTGTACAGGTTCCTGAGCCTACTGGGCTCTATCATATCTACATTTGAAACTGTGTATGGAGTCAGCCTCCTCCACATTACTGCCTAATGGATTACATCTGTTAACTACTGTAACACTGAAAAATTCTTTCTAATATCTCTGTGGCTCATTTTGGTACTGTTTCCACCTGTGTCCCCTTGTTCGTGTTCCACCCGTGCTAAAGAGTTTGTCTTTGTCCACCCTGTCATTTCCCCTGAGAATTTTGTAGGTGGTTATCATATCCCCCCTTACTCTTGTATTTTTCTTTTGTCATATTTACTACATATCCCTCTCACACACACACATCTCCAGGAAGCAGCCCGTAGCAGCTGCCCAACTTTCTCCCAAGTACCTATTTACTGCTAGGTGAACAGGCCCATGAAGTGAAAGAAACTGTGCCCGTTTGTTTCTGCCTCGACCGGGAATTGAACACAGGGTTAGGACTAAAACCCCAGAGCGCTGTCTAATCAGTTGTGTATGTGCGCATGCGTGTGTTAGCAAATATAAATATATGTGGGATTCTACTTTTAACAATAGTTTGGAACAATTAGTTTCTTAGTTCTTGTGTGGTGGAAGATGTTCTGTTATCCCACACTTAATTTTCTTCCATCCTCTGCCATAAATTGTTTTTCCTCCTCAACCAAACAAAATATTGCTTCCATCCATATGTAAATAATCTTTCATGCCTAATTAAACGACCAGAAATAAGTAGCCTTCAACCCCTGACCTAAATAACTTTTCTTTCATAACAAAATGCATTCTCATTCTTGCATGTGCTCCTTCCACTTTCTCGCAACGTATTTAAATAAGTTTTCCAAATCCCTCGTCATTCCTAACTACCCAACAGCCCTTGTGCTTGCTTCTCGGCCACACTCTCCCTCATTTCCTTCTATTGCTCAAAATCATACTGAACTCCATTATAGTTTGCTCTCGAAAGCCTACATGATCATCATGGAGACATCTTATATATATATATATATATATATATATATATATATATATATATATATATATATATATATATATATATATATATATATATAATCTTATTGTGCATGTTGCCTTCTTTCTTGTCCTGCTCTACACTTCACAATTCTTTTTCGGTTCTGAAATGTTGTGTGTGTGTGTGTGTGTCTGTCAGTCAGCCCAATCTCAGTTTTCTTCATGGACTCAACAGCTCTCGTTTTCTCTACTCATTTCACAATTAGATTGAGGGGCAACGACCAGCAGGACTCTGTTGCCTCTGTTGTTTCTGCTGTCTCTGTTCTTCCTGCTGCCTCTGCTGCTTCTACTGCCACTGCTGCCTCTGCTCCTTATCTACAGCTAGCTCCACTAGTCGGCAGCAGAAGCAGTAACAGCAGCAGGAGCAGTAACAGCAGCAGGCGAGGCCAGGGGAGCCCGAGGCAGCAACAACAAAGAGGCTTCACCGACACAAGCTGAGCCTCACAGCCTTCAGATCCAACCTGACAGTAGAAGATAATCCCAGGGTGAGCCAGGGATTCCAAACAGCACTACACACACACCGCTTTTCGTTTTTCTGTTAGCCTTTCTTTTAGCCTTTTCATCATTTATTTCGTTGCTGATTCCACGCATCTTACTTCGTTAGCACAAGTCTCGGATTATATACAAGGGGTAAAGTTTCGTTAGCACTGAGATCACAGTCACGATAGGTGTCCTGGTGAGCTATTATGATCGCTTTCAATTGCATCGTTGATCGCAATCTCCTCGAGGAGTCCCGGTGAGCGTTTCAGCCACTCGAGGCAGATCCTGGCGGTCTCACCGAAGACACGGGCTTTCGGAGAAGTTCAGAGTCTCCTAAGGCGGTATTCGCGACGACCTTCCAGGGGGAGAAGGGGCGTGAATAAAGGCCCCTCCAGGCAGATGGATGGGCTCTCACAAGGGACTCAAGCCGGGGGCCAACTATCGACAGACAGACGGTGTGGGGACCTTGGTATTTATAAGGCTACTTGCAGAAATCTTGATCAGCGGCGCACACTCCTCCTGGAGCCGCCAGGAACAGCCGGCCGCTGCTGCATACACACACCTGTCGGTACGAACATCTGGTCAATGACTACACATATACACACATGCAAGGTCAAGGACATTTATACAGTATGTATCTTTAGTTAACCTAGCATCTAAATCAATTCATCACATCAGTAAGAAAACATTTTTATTGTCTTAGAACAGATAATCATTCGCCATATTCTGTTTTAATCACTGATATTTATAGCTGAAAGAGATGCATACAATTATTTGCAATATACTGATTCCTTAAAAATTATCAAATCAAATCAAATAAATTAAACGATTACCAAAGAAAATACTGACTTCTTTAAAAGTCATCCAGGTGCTGTTCAAAGAAAATAATATTTCTTTGAAAATTATGTTCAAAGAAAGTATGAATTCTTGTAAACTATTACCAAAGAAAAATATGGATTCTTTTGAAACCTATAATCAAAGAAAATATTAATGATGTTGAATTATTAAAGCAAAAGAATCCTTTCCATGTTTATAGGGAATGAATTGACGAAAGAAGGAATAAATGAATAAGTGAATAATGATGAAATGAAGTAATGTATGACATCCTCTGACCTGGTAGACATCAGGCCGGGCTCGGGTGGGGTCACTCGTCTGAATAGTGGACGTCCGAAGTCCTCGGACGAAAATGTTGGGAGTGTCGAACTTAATCTGTCGGGGAGACGACGTGAATCAGAACACACAGCATGAATCAAGATACTCAGCATGAATCAGAACACACACACAGCATGAATCAGAACACACAGCATGAATCAGAACACACAGCATGAATCAAGATACTCAGCATGAATCAGAACACACACACAGCATGAATCAAGACACTCAGCATGAATCAGAACACACAGCATGAATCAGAACACACAGCATGAATCAAGACACTCAGCATGAATCAGAACACACAGCATGAATCAGAACACACAGCATGAATCAGAACACACAGCATGAATCAAAACACTCAGCATGAATCAGAACACACACAGCACGAATTAGAACACACAGCATGAATCAGAACACTCAGCATGAATCAGAACACACAGCATGAATCAGAACACACAGCATGAATCAGAACACTCAGCATGAATCAGAACACACAGCATGAATCAGAACACTCAGCATGAATCAGAACACACAACATGAATCATGAGACTACATGAATCTGGTGTTGCTACTGCGTTATTTTTTACAAATTTCATTTTTACAAATACTATTAGATATCATCAGCTGCTATCAGATGCTATGTGCTACTATCAACTGTTACAACCTATTTTTAATATCAGGATAAATCCTGTTAGAACGATGCCAGAGGGAGTTGTGTAAATCTCACCTGTAGTCATTTTAACAAAATAATTAGTCATTATAAATTTGAAACAGAAACCGCGCCCCAGACTCGTAACGCTAATTCATCGTTATCAACGTTAATTCAACGTTGAATTAACGTCACTCTTTGGATATTGTGGACACTGAAAGCGCGTGGCGTTTGCTGAAACCTCTCCACATTGCCAACGGAGAACCTGGGTGGAATCCCGAATCTACCCTTATCGTAAAATCGACAGAAAGAGCATGGAAGATGGAGCCGAGGCTGTCAGATGCTGCGAAGATGGAAAATTAAATGAATTACAATCGTGAGATTCAAGATTTCGGCTGTTGACTATTCTAACAGTCCCAACGCCACCCATGATACATTGATGTGTAGTGATGGCCACCCATGATATGTTGATGTGTTGTGCTGGCCCATGATACGTTGATGTGTTGTGCTGGCCACCCATGATACGTTGATTTGCTGGCCTCGAGACGTGTTTGCTAGGACACATAGGTCTCCGGTCAGTCATCCAGATTATTTGGTGTTAACCGACATTGAGCTGCATATCTCATGCTTATCGTTGGCTGTGAACGTTGGTAGTTCTCCACTACAATAAAAGACGTAGTTTCCACAGCTCAGAGGACACAATATCAAAGAGCAACGCTTATACAACGACGACACAACGTCATAAACGTTGAATTAACGTTAATTCCACGCTAAACTAACGCCACTCTTGAATATTGTGCCAGCTGAGAGGTGGCAGCTGTTATCGTTCAGTAATTAAAACAAGGGTGAAGTTATCCATTTTCGGTCACTATTTTTGTCGTGAGAAGTTCAACAGTGGCAGGTTGCCAACTGTGCGAGAAGAGCTTTCTGTAAAGCCTAAAGTAAGCTTCGACACAGGTGGCATGCCTGAAGTAAGATTCGACACTGGTGGCATGCCTGAAGTAAGATTCGACACTGGTTACGTGCCTGAAGTAAGCTTCGACACTGTTGGCGTGCCTGAAGTAAGATTCGACACTGGTGGCATGCCTGAAGTAAGATTCGACACTGGTTACGTGCCTGAAGTAAGCTTCGACACTGATGGCATACCTGAAGTAAGCTTCGACACTGATGGCATACCTGAAGTAAGCTTCGACACTGATGGCATACCTGAAGTAAGCTTCGACACTGGTGGCATACCTGAAGTAAGCTTCGACACTGGTGGCATTCCTGAAGTAAGCTTCGACACTGGTGGCATACCTGAAGTAAGCTTCGACACTGATGGCATACCTGAAGTAAGCTTCGACACTGATGGCATACCTGAAGTAAGCTTCGACACTGATGGCATACCTGAAGTAAGCTTCGACACAGGTGGTGTGCCTGGCGTATACAATTTTCCATGCAAGGACAGCATTAAATTGTATGTGCTTGTAGGAATACCGCAACGAGGTATTTGAAGGAAATATTTTGCCATCCTGGTTGGAATTTCTGAATTCGTGTATGCTTCCAGAGAGTTTTCAAATCTCAATTTTAAGATCCCTGGAGTCATGACAGTCTAGAGATTCTTTTAAGGATGGGATGGAGGGGAGGGTGATGACGAGTTCTTCTGTCAAGAACTATTCAAGTTTGCCAAGAACTAGAACGAAAAGAATTGTTACGAGATGCATAATGTCATCTAATTTATATTATTTACTGTTATATCGTAGTGCTAAAGCACTGGACGTTACAACGTGATGGAATATAAATTTGTCTATATATTCCTTACCAAATGGCGGTCATGTCAATCCGGTCGGTGAGAGAGTCCACCCGTACACAAAATGTGTGTATTATGAAGCCCATCTCGACCTGCCAATAAGAGTTCTTTACTCTAAGATGATGATGTTCTTTACCAAGATGGCATCAATTGATATTTTTTAGGGCCTTAGCCAGCCTCCACTACCTTCCACTGGTCTCATGGGGGTCGCACTGGCAGCCAAATCTCTTTTTATTGGACCAATGTGGCCGACCTCGCCCTACTCATGTGACTGACCTCGCTCTACCCATGTTGGTCACATACCCTTCATTAGTCACCTGCACAGTTTGATGAGGCTGGCGACAAGCATCTGGCCTCTTGGGCAAACAGATATACTCTCGTGTGTAAATCGATTACTTTATATATTTTGAAACTGCTTATTTAGCCAGTTTTCTGGAGAAGTCTGAAAGCATGAACACATTGAAACTAAAACTTTCAGTTCGTATGAATCCAGTCATTTCAGAAGAGTTTATCTGAAATTCAGGGCAGCATAGTATACTTGATGAATTTATCTTGAATAAATGGGCTTTAATGATTTCAATGTTTACGAAATCAATGATATTTAAATCTCGAGTAAGTCACGTTTTATAGACAATTACGAATAGTGTTACGTGAAAGTGTGATTATTAAACAATAAACACTATAGTGAGGTCCTGTAAGCATCAACACGGGTCCGGGATAGTCACCAGTCCAGGGCCATGAAGGATAGTCATTAGAGGGGGGAGGGCTCTCAAGGTTCAACACAGGTCTAGGATAGTCTCTAGAGAGGGTCCTCAAGGATTAGCACCGATCATACTGGAAAGAAACTGAGAGCCAATTTGAGGCGGAAGTCACACCTCCATTCACAACTTTAAGGACAGTTTCGACAAAAGATTCGAGCGTCAAAATAGTCAAAAATTGTATGGTAACAGGTTCAACAAGGCTGACTGACATCTGTTACGTTACGTAGGCGGGACACACACTCACACACACACACACACACACACACACACACACACACACACACACACACACACACACACACACACACACACACACACACACACACACACTTATATACACACGTACGCACGCACACGCACAGCACTCACGAGTTCCGTTATTGCCCAAGTTGGCCAGAGTGCTTGTGGTGGTAGGGGGGGTTTGGGGGGGGGGGACACCAACAACGGCCACCCAGGTGAACTTAAAGAGTTTTGTTTCTAAGTGTAAAAGCCATGAACCGGTGTTACGGAGTCCCTCGTATACCCTTTCCATCCTTTCCTCCCCTCTCTTTCTCTCTCTCTCTCTCTCTCTCTCTCTCTCTCTCTCTCTCTCTCTCTCTCTCTCTCTCTCTCTCTCTCTCTCTCTCTCTCTCTCTCTCTCTCTCTCTCTCTCTCTCTCTCTCTCTCTCTCTCTTTCTCTCTCTCTGTCTCTCGCTCTCTTTCTCTTTCTCTCTTTAGCCATTGTTTCGACGACGAAGCGATAGTTTCAATGGCTTCGCGGTTTAAACCATTCCATTTGTTTACAATCCACACATCGAAAAAGTTCTTTCTGACAGCTCTCTGTCTCAACTGTGTCTTTATTTCCATTTGCTTTCCTCTCGTGTTGCTGTTCCTAACATTGAACATTGCTTCTGCTGGAGAGTGACCAACAGAGAACACAATGAAATTCTCAAAGGAACCACACCACGATTGCCAATTGCTCCGTGTTGAATTTCCCTGCCTAGAGATATAAAGCAATTTACCAACTGCAAGGAGGAGAGGGAAAGATCAACTTTTTTTTCATATGAAGATTGAAGGGAGGCGTTAGATGCTTCACCTATAAGGAATGACTTCTTTGGAACGCTTGAAGAGCCTTGGTTACTTGCAAATCACGAACACAAGCGACAAAAGTTTGGCATCGTCACTTTTCTCGCTAAAAAAATGAGTTATCCAACAGTGACCTCACAGGCAATGATATTCTGATGCATGGATATTGTTTTTCCTTTGAGCCAACGGCGACCACGCCATCAAAGCTGAATAATAAAATAGACCAATAATGTCAGCAAGAGACGGAAATTTTCCACTATTAAGCAGTATCAATATTTTGCGTGCAAACAAAAGCGACAACTTTTAAAGATACAGTTCGTATAAGTTATAAAAATCTTGCTGTTCTCATTCAATTGGAAAATTTACAGCTACATAACACACAAAAATAAATCTAATCTGCACCCAACCAAAATAAATCCTTAAAATGTCTATTAACCCTAATAAATCTTATACAACCCCATCAACCAAATTAAAACATACAGATCTTCACAGCCAAATATAGCTAACAGATACCCAAATTAATCAAATACAAAACTTTCCCACCAACGAAAATAAAACTTAAAACCTCCCACCGTCAAAAAGCAGACTTGCAGCAACCCAAACAACCAAAATATACTTCCCCCTCCTCACCAACCAAAATAAATTTTACAATTTTTTTTTTACACTGCAGCATAAACGACTCTCTTTAAAATATGGATTTTTTTCCCTCCCTCTTCGCGCTAGGTCTTCTTTTGAGATACGTGGGAAATGCCATCGTGTTATGCCTTGAGCCTCCACTTGCCGCAGCTTG